GCCATTAAGTGTTCAGCAGAGTGATGGCATGAGGGAAATAATCTGTCCCTGTACCTAGTTGTTTTGGCACACAATGCCCAATAGTGCCATCCCAAGGAATTCTTATTCTGCTTTGTTCTGTTCTGCTCCTCCTCCTGCTGCTCCTGCTCCACTCCCTTTAAAGGTTTATTTGTATTCTGTTCTGTTCCTACTCCTACTCCTACTCCTACTCCACTCCCTTTAAAGGTTAGGCTGGCATGTAGAATCTGGAATCTGATAATATCTTGTATTTGTATACATAGTTTTATGAATGATGCAGATTTGAAGTTTGAAATATAATTTTGCCACCCTCAGATTGACCCTCCTGTTTAGTACCTTCCATGGCAGAGATCAAATAGAAAGGCTTTGGTTTGAATCTGAAGAAAGAGGGATCCAAAGTCTCAAACTATTATTATGGATGTGAGAGATTATAGGGAGCCTGGGAGAGAAGTGAAAAAAAAAACACAGACATAAGTTGTCAAGAGACAACTCACAAACAGCAGTTTAACTCAAGTAGAAGAAAATCTGAATAAGTGTTTCAAATCTCTTCAAAGGAGAGTCTCTTTGCTCTCTTTATTAATGGCTATAGCATCCTTACTGCAGCTGAAAATTACACTGGGCTTGGAAACTCCAACTGTTTTTCTAATGGCAAAGCCCTCATCCTTTATGTCATCATCAAACCTTTCATTTGGAATTAGTTTCCAAGTTCTCAAAAATGGATCATGTATTGTGAAAAACGAAATCTTTGAACACACTACAAACATCTTTCTAAGAACTTCAATGTAACTTCCAATTATGTTGATTTCTCATTTTGTGGCATTGTTATTGTTTTTCTTTCAGCTATCAATCAAAATAAATAACACATTGTCACCTACAGTGCAGTGTATTAACTTCCAAGAGTTGTTACTGTGATACAGTTTGAAAAGAGTAATAAATTGCTTTGAAATTGTTGTGCAGGTTCATTGATTTAGCTGCCTGTGAATGAAATGTTTCATATATGTGTATGACTTCAAGAGTGATATTGGCATTTTGTACAACATTTTATTATCTTGCCAGTTTGGTGATATTCTTGTAAGAGCATTTTGTGGAGCAGCGATATGGTCATAATACTTAAAAGAAGATGTTCTGTTTTTAAAAGATAAAATGTTATTTCCTGCAATTGTTTTGCAAATTCATCTTTACTTTATACGTACTTTTAAGTTGATGAGTGGAAAGACACTTTCCTTGTTATACTCATTGTTTACTTTCTATGTCCGGAACATGGTATTATTGTTATTTTCAACAAATTCTGGCTGAGTTTGATACTTCTTTTATTTCTCTGCTAGTGTATAATAATTATATATACTCTTTTACACAAATATTTTCTGAAAATTCAAAATCCGTATCAATTTAAGCAGGATGGATGAAAGTATGGTTATGAGATGCCTTATTTGTAAGGAAGACTCTTCAGTGCTATATTCACTATCCAAAACCAGAAATATGTTCTGGTTTCCAGGAACTTATCCTAGACAACTGGCAAGAGTAGCACCAACAGCTGGAAATTCACCTAGGCAGCAACAGCATCACATAAACAACCGTTTAATATTTGCTGATAATGCTACCTGTGTTGATACTTGGAGAGAATAAATATAGTATCAGTTTTAGTTAGTTATTAAAATCATAGAATGTAAGTGTAGGAAGACATTGGAGATAATTTAACCCAACCTACTGTGTAAGAATTAAACAGGAATGGTTGAACATATCTTACTATTAGGAAATGTTTCCTGATGTTCCACTAAAATCTAATGTACTTCCTTGTGATTTAAATGCACTGTTTCATGTTGTCTCTTCTGAAGCAACTGTGAATTGCCGTGCCCCTTCTTTGCATGACTCCAAGTAAGTTGTCGTGTCTTCCCAGGCTTCTTCAGACAAAACATGTTAGACATCTCCAACCCTTTCTAAACGGATTTTCCTTTCATTCCATTTTCCACCTATTTATTTTCTTTGGGATATTCTTCAGTTTATTAGTATCTTTCTTAAAATGCATTGCCAAACATTAGATGTAGTATTTTAGGTGTGGTCTGATCAAGATTGAATAAAGAGGATCATTGGCTTTTCTTTAAGTTGCTATTATGTTTCTATTGATGCAGCCTAGAATTACATTTACAGTTTTAACAGATGCATTACACTATCATCTTATGTCTTGTTAAACATCCAGATCTTTTTGGTTGTATTCATGGCAAAAAAAAAAAAAAAAGGACTTGGATTTTTCGTCCCAGATTTTAACTCTTTGCATTTGCTCTTGTTGAAGTTTTGGAGGTTTGCCCATTATTTCAGTTTGTTAGGAGCTGTCAAACCTGCCTACACTGGAGTACCATATTATCTTCCTCAGCAATTTTCTGTCAGTTCATTTATAAATATGTTGGACAGCATTGAGCTGTTGATAATCATATTTACTAATCCTTCAAATAGCTTATAAATACGTTGAACAACATGGAGCCTTGAATGGAACTCTACCATATGCCACTGATATACATTTGTTTGAAACCGTACTGTCTTCATGGCCTAGCCCAATGGTGGTGAACCTATGGCATACGTGCTAGAGGTGGCACTCAGAGCCCTCTCTGTGGGCATGTGCGCCATTGCTCCAGCCCCGCCTCACCCCGTGGTCCCCTCCTCCCCAACACCCCCCAGAGGAGAGTCACCCCCGGACGCGGCCCGCGTAGAGCTCCATGGAGCTCCGCAGCCAAGGACATGGCAGCTGGGCAGCGGGGACAAGATTCCACCCTTACATTCTGTCGCGTGCAGATGATGCTGCAGGGCGCAGGTGGAGGGCGTGGCCACCATGGTGCTGCTGGGCCACCTGGGCGATCTGCAGTGGGCAGTGGAGGCAATGGGTGGCCCTTCAGGTGGGCGGGCTGTGGGGCAGTGTGGGAGGCAATGTGGGGCAGGCTTTGGGCACTCGGTCTCTAAAAGGTTCGCCATCACTGGCCTAGCCTATATTTTACCATGTTCTTTACTATTGGGGTTGGGGACCCCTACTGTAGAAGACTCTCTGAAAATACAATGGTATCCTAAGCTACTCCCTAATTTTTTTTTGCAATTATTTTTTAAGTAATAACATTTTTTAAAAAAAGTTTCAACCATACTTTGTTCCCTCAGACCTGAAATTTTTGCCTAGTACTGGCTCTCTTGAAGTCTAAGACGTCACTGAGGAATTTTTCAGACTCAGTTTTGGCTGAGTAGGTTTTCCCCACAGATATCTGAGTTGTTGAAATCTCCCAATATTATCATGGTATGTTTTTGCTCCCTGAAAGTTCTGCAGTCTACCTCAGTGATATCCAGATTGCCTGTCTTGACAGACTATGGTATATCTTCACAATAATGCTTATTTTTGTTTACCCTTCCATGAACGCATACTAATGAATTACAACAAATAGTACCAGTTTATTTTTGCATTTGTACATACACTCTCAATAACATGTTAAAACTATTGTCTTATTTAGTATTCTGGAGAGTTTTATTTTTAAAAATCAATTGTTTGTTTGATAATTCTATAACTGTTTTATGTTGTTGAATTGTTAATCATTGCAGATTGACTTGCCTTGCCAGGAACTTTCAGGTTCAGATGCGAAAATAAATACCCAAATATGCTCAAATGGAGCTCTGTATTCATATTTCTGGATCTCAATATGTATATGCCACTCCTTCACACCTATTGCCATTAACATCCCATTTCTCTGGCTTGTCTTTTTCAGTTTTACATTTTAGTCCTTGCATTCCTTTATTGAGATTTCTCTGTCCAGTTTTCATTAATCATCTCTACTCTATTAAATTTTATTTGTCTTCTAGCATTGACACTTCTATTCCTTATAATCTGTATATCAGAAATGATTTCTGTAAATTAAGAAAATCCTAACTAAATGTACATACCTCTAGTTTTTTCTAGTTGAAGACTTTAAGAGGTGTAATTTATCTTTTTTTGTTTGCTGCTAGAAATTTTGATCCAACAAGGATAATTATGAACTATGAATTAAAGGCAGGATATCTAAGCAGGAATTAATGCAACATGGGAACCCTAAAAGGAAATCTTCCACACATTCACTCAGCGGTTCAGCTCTTTACCGTAAACCTGACACTTTAACCCCTAACCTGTTCCTTACCCATTACATAACACATTCACCCATCTAGGCCTATTGAAATAGACAATCCAGAAACAGTAGGAACAGGGGTGGAGACATATCTCTGAACCTGAGACACAAGAGAAAAGGGCCCACAAACATCTCCCCTCCCACTTAACCCCTCTTGGCTTCAAGGAGATAGTGTAAAAGTACTTAGCTTTGAGACAGGATCTCAACATATTGTTCTGCTCAATCCTGGACAAGCCCCAGTTTTAGTAAATTCTTTCCCCCGTGAATCAATTTACAACTGGAAACCCCACAATCTACTTGAACCACGTTTATTTGGACAGCAGTGGGTTCAAACTGCAAGGTTCTGCCTACTGAAGAAGGTTACAAACAACCTTTATATAGTTGTATAATAAATGCTGACAGTAATGATGACAAATGCCAATCATAACATGGCCTAGATTTTGTGCTTATAGTGATATAAGCTATATAGTAAAGTGGAGGTTGGCATTGATGAGTTTTTGTGATTAGTTACTATCCAGCCTCCATAAAAAAATGCAAGTCCTGAATTAAGATAACTCATGAGCTAGCATCTCAGATATTGTCATCTACAATTATGAAAGTCTGTTTTAGAAGCATACAGAGCAATGAATGTATCTTCCAATGTGAAGCAGGTGAAGTACATTCATTAACACATATTTTTCTTGCATAGTTTTATAGGAAGGATCTGTATGATTAATATTATACCAAAATATACTGATGGATCCCTGCAGTGGCATCTGTACTGTTTTTAATGGTTATTAAAATGGTAGACATATTAGCTATATTTCTGTTTTCTGAATGAAACCTTATATGTGGTGGCTGTTTCATTTTTAGGATCAAGCACAACATAGAAATTCAACTGAACGATCTGACTTTGCAGTATATATGATGGATAGGCATTGCCTGAGTTGTTTCTTAATGCTTATATAAGATTAAAGGTAAGGCATGGTAAGTGATACTGTATCTTAGAATTTTAAATCTATTTTTTTCATAATTTGTGTATTTACATCTTTGATATTTTTCCGATATGGCAATGTTATAGAGTTCTTCTCAAAAATAAATTTGATAGAATTTATAGGTAGTCCTTGACTTATGACCATTTATTGATTATTTTAATTAAAGATGGTGGCGAAGAAAGTAACTTACAACTGGTCTTTGCACTTATGACCGTCACTGCCTCCCCATGATCACGATTCAGGCACTTTGCAATTTGCATGTGTTTACAGCGGTTGCAGTATCCTGGGATTACATGATCACAATTTGCAAATTTCCCAGCCAGCTTCCAATAAGCAAAGTCAATGGGGGAAGTTTGAATTGTTTAATAACTGTGACATTCACTTAACAACCGTGGCAAACAGTTCCAAATGTGGTTGTAAGTTGAGGACAACCTATACAATAATTTTAAAATACACTGGATACCTCCCAGATGAATTGTAACATGCTCAACATGGAGTTGCCTTAGAAGCTGAAGCGGGTGCAAAATGCAGTGGATCAGGCAGTTCTATGCACTCCTCAAGCAGTGCACTTTACACCTCTGCTCTGTGAGCTGCATTGGCTACCAGTGTGCTTCCAGGAGCAATTTAAGGTGCTAATGTTGACCAATAAAACCTTACTTAGCATGGGACCAGAATATTTGATATACTGTGTCTCCATGGTTATATCTACTGTACTATCTCATCAGATCCAGCAGGAGAGGCATTACAGGTCCCATCGACTAAGGAATGTCATCTGATGGGACCCAGGAAAGGAGCCTTTTCTGCCATGGCGGCTGCCCTTTGGAACATCATTTTCCCCCAGTACTTAGATTGGCACCTTCCCTTCTGGCATTTAGGAAGGGTTTGAAGACTTGGCTGTGCCATCATGCCTGGTGGTCCAGCAATAGTGGTGAGCCTTTGGCGATATTCAATGAATATGATTGCGAATATGTCTTATTGAATTTTTAATTATGGTTTTAGATTAGTTATATGCTGTTGTGTTTTTTTTCAACTATTTCTACTGTGGTTTTATTGTGAGACTCTGAGACAAGGTTGAACTCTTAAAAGTAAAAAAAAAAAAATCATTGTGATATAAACCGTCACAAAAACTGCTGAAACATTAACATTCCCACCTAGAAATTGGAAAGATAACTGAAAATGTTTTTATTCTTGCTTTACTTAGCAGTTCTGAAAAAAATCCTGGGGAATATTTGATCCTGTAGATTATTTATAGGTGATGATGTGCTGCCAATCATTTTATAATCAGTAAAGTGAAATAAAAGCATAGTTAGATGCATTTTTCAAAATTGACCACTTCAATTTCCTCAGAAAGCATTTTTCATTAAGGTTTGTAGTGAGGATACTAAACTAACTGAATTTTAGGAAACAAAATTGTATCTTCTATATTCAGCTAGTATTAGAGAATTTTGTTTAAAAGTCTGGGGAGTAAAATTTCAGGAGCAGTACAGTACTGGAGGATTGCATACTTAGGATAGTTGGTACCAAATCTCCAAGTGTGCACTATTCTGTCTTCTCTTTTTTGATCAGTCATCTGATTAATTTATTTACTCATGACCATTTTCTCTATCTTTCACTCACATTCCTTTACATATGCATTTATCTATTATGCAGAGAGCAATATAGCCTCAAATAACCTTCATACCCTCTCTCATACTTTTTCATTCTCATAAATGTACATACTCCCATCTTTTCCTTCCATACATATCTTCCCTTTCAAACTCCCAGACTAAGTAGAGCTTAGTCTGGGAGTTTTTTACTTTTTTTTTTTAACCATTCCTGCGGTTTCTGTTACTAACGTATTACTTTATTGTACCTGCAGTCTAAGCTGTTTGACAATAAAGGAACTTCTAATAGAGACAGAAAAGGCTATTGATTTATCTGTTGATAATTTGAGACTATTTGCCTCAGACTATATTGAATGATGCCTACCACACAGTCTAACCATCAGATTGCTATGTGTTTGCATACATAGATTTTAAAATGTATGATTTCTTTCAGCATTTGAAATGTGTGAAGTTAGAGACTGATAAAATAAATATTAATAAAAATTTAGTAAGGTTTGAATCCTCAGTGCTTATGAAATTTGCTTTATTGACAATCTTATACTGGAAATGAAACATTATTTATATTTATTAGAATTGTAAATAATGCTTTGCTCTTTTTTCCTGCCCTATAGATTCCCCCCCCCCACACTATCTCTCTTTCTTTCCATTTGTAGACTAGATTTGTCGTTGTTTTAATTTATAGTAGAATAACATGAAGGTGAGGATCCTGATAGGAGTGACTTCGTATATTTTGCAACCAGTTGTCAAGTGCTCTGGCACTTGTTTAGTCCAGAAGTTACAGAACAGGAAACTTTATCTGAATTTTATTTAAATTTTATCATCTAATATCTAATTTTTTAGCATGTTATGTTCCTTTTCTTTAGCTTTTTCTCAATCGTAGATAAAACCTTGTTCAAGAATTGTGTCCATTGTTAAAAATGATTCAGAAGAAATGCTTTGGATCTTGTGAGTGTAATGATTGACTGCTACTACTTAAAGAGCCACATTTTTTCCATGCTTTCATTTGAGCCTGAAAAATTATGTGGTTGCTTTAATAAGTTGACATTAAAGAAATTCTTAAAGTAGGCTTAGCCTTCTTTTCAGGCTCAGGCAGAAGCTTGAACAAAAATATGACTACTGTAATGAATAGCAGAGTCCTTGTACAATGCCTGCAGCAACTTTGAAATGTGCACAGACGGTGCATGTTGCACGGCAGAGTGGGCCCTAGAGTTCTTCCTAAAAATTGATACTATTATGCTTTGACTCAAGACCTCAGGAGGAATAGAAATATAGCAAGGTGATCAATGTGTTAATAATTGCCACATAAAGCAAAAAGCCTCATGCTTATTTGCTTTATTATTTACAAGAACATGTAAAGACAGATACAAAAAGCAAAGTGTTTGCTCTGTGGACTAGGGCAGAGGTGCCCAAAAGGGACCGGTTCCGTGGAGAAAGGTTTTTCCACGGACCGGAGGGTGCGTGGTTTTGTGTGCTGCCTGCATCCCACAGATGGGGCTTTGCTTGTTTGCGTGGCTGGTTGCTGACATGCCGTGGCCCGGTACTGGTCCATGGACCAGGGGTCCACTGGACTAGTGAATAAAGAATGATGGATGCCATTTACTTGTGTCAGTTTCAATTTATTTCACAGTAAATTGGGATTGCTAGAGAAAAAGTGGTAGATAACAATAGTTTTGGCTGATCTGTTCTCTTAGAATATTTCTGCAATTTAATATTTGGAAATTCAGCAGTTATTAATTTATTAACCTCAAAACCTTTCAACAAACCAGTCATGATTTAATTGCTTGTAACAGATTGAGCAATTACATGTTAATGTTAAAATATTTCATATTCATTTTATATGTCATTTATATAATAATAATAACAACAACAACTTTATTGTCACTTTGAATGTACACCAATCATCAAAATTTCATTCATTTCCATCAAAATGAAATTTCGTTGCATACAGCTCTCAAAGGTCACCACCTCCAATATACACTCCTTGTTCGTGGCCAGCTCAAGTTTCAGATCGTCCATTTTACTCTCTAGGGAGTGAATGATGGTAAACAGGACAGATGGAAATGGAGCTCTATATGGATTAGCCCTCAAATTAGCTTGTATTTCTGCACGACAATCTCGCCTCCTTTCCTTTTTCTGATCCTGACTGTTCCACCTTTTCCTATGCATGCATAGTTAGGAAGAGAGGAATGAAAAATAATAGAATTTCATCATGTGATGTTTTTGAACTACTGTAAAATGTCTTGATATTTAAAGGAAATGTATTTGTATCTTGGTAATCTGCAAGTACCATCATAAATTTTCATAACTGTCTACTTCACAGGTTCAAACAAGATTCTGGGTGACATTCCTCACAAATGGAGAACTATTTCCAGACAGAGGCTTATAACCTTGATAAGGTTTTAGATGAATTTGAACAAAATGAAGGTGAACAACTTTTGTTAGGACTGGAGACATAAACTGAATTTAGGTCTAGTGTTTGCCTGTATTTCCTATCCACTGTAGTCATCTATCCATTTGCTGGAGAGAGAGAAAAGAAAACAGCACTGGGTAACTTAATATTTTATTAGGTAGAAACACACTTAAATGTTTTGAAATTTTTAGTCTGATATGAATTATGTTCCCATATTCATTGGATAAGAAAAGTTGATAATTATATAAATCAGTATCTTGCTGATAACTAGGACAGCTAAAATGTTAATTGGTGATAACTCAAAGGTAACGGATACACTTCCTGCTATAAAGAACTGTAACTTTCCATTACCTCTTGTTATTCAAGTTCACAATTATAACTTAAGTATTAAGTATACACTTAAGTATACTTAATACAGAAAGATGTCCTGCTACTAGCATTTATGATCATAGATTGCTAATTCCACTACCTCATGATAAGATTGGAGTTGAATCTTCTGTAAGTTTGCATACTGCATTCGGTCTGGTAACAGCGGACTTCCCTTCTTTTTCCTTTCTGTGGCAGTCGCTTTGAATTACGTAACTGTGGACAGAATTGTGGAAATTCTTTTGTGTGAGGAAGCTTTAATGTCAAGGGCTTGGAGACACATAGGAAGCAATTTGATGGGGCATGTGTACCAGTTACAGGCAGAAGGGATTAAGGCCTCTATTACCTTTTGTTTGCACTGGTCCTTCATAAAAATCCCAGAATAAAAATTTAAAATTTTTGTCTGTTTTTAAAAATCATTTGATGGAAATAGTGGTTGTGATGGTCTTGCTTTTACTGTATGTGCTCAGTGTTGAGCAATCTTTTATTGGGGTCCCTCAAATTACAGCTATTTGGGCTCAGTAGACCCTTTTATTTCTTTGAGGATAGCTAGTTACTAACTATATTGCTTAGAAATATTCAAAATATAGGAACAACCCACATGCTTAGGAAAGAAAAAAAAAACATTTTTGTTAAAATAGGTGTAAATGTATTTTTGCTATTAAACAAAGATACAAAGTGTTCTGGATGTTTATATAGCACCAGGATATGTTAAAGTTTCACAGGGCATTTTAACTTTAAATTCCTAATTAATTTATGCCTGTGATTGATTTAGTCTCTATTATTGTCTTATACACAGCTGAGTTGGAGCTGCTTCCCATTTTTTTTATCTCAGCAGGAGGCCTTCACAGTTCATCTTTTCCAGATTATTTTTCTGTAAATGGTTTCCATTTTCATTTGAAATTGCAGTTTTGTTGTGCTAGGATTAAGGTTTTAAACCATTGGTTTTGTGACTGTTTAAAAAGATTTTGATGAGCTTAAAATTATCTTAGGAAAATGGCAAAAGAGAGGAACTAGGATTTAAAATGCACTTTAAAAATTCATTTATTTGTTTGTTTATTTTCCACATTTCTTAACTATCCTTCTCCCTCAGAGAGGAGCTCTGGGCCATGTACAATATAGTCAATATAATTAACATTAAAATCAGAATAATTTAAGATGTTGTAAGTTCCTCTGTAATAAAGAACTTGAGGTGGATAGGAATGATAATTTTATAGATATATAAGGTAATAACTTTGTGGTACATCCTTTATATCTTTGTATTCCTTTATATTCTTATATGTTCCATTCTCTTACATGGAGGTTTGTAACTTCAAAACTACTAAGCAAACAAATAATTAAAGTCTTGCTGGATCATACCAGTCATTGATCAAATTCATCATTTTGTTTTCTGAGGCTGACTGACTATGTACTTCTAAGAAGCATACAAGTAGACTGAAATAATAGTCTGCTTCTAATTTTGCTTCCCAGGAACAGAGATTGAATGGGTTACTGCCTTTTAATCTGAAGATTCTATCTAGGAATCAAAATTAACAACTCTTGATAAAACTATCCTTTATGAATTAGTATTTTAAGGATATATAAACTAGTGACCATTATGACAGCAGATTCTGTATATTAATAAATAGCACTTAAGAGAAAAATATAGCCTTTGGTATTTATTTTAGCTGTCATTTTGGGAATAATGTTTATTCACTAATTTGACTGATTTTTTTTTTCATATAGAGCAGGGGTGGGGAACAATAAGGAACAACAATGGCCATCATTCCTTACCCCTGATAGGGAGTAATGGAATGGAAATAGTTGTTTCTTTGTAATTGGAACATGGTAGCTGTGTTATAACACATGGGTCAATTGATTAATTTTCTTTTTGTTCAGTTTTACTACTGAAATTTATTTATTTTCTAGCATTGTTGGATATTCTCTGTTGCTTTGCAGCTTTGATAAAAGGAAAATTATGTATCTTTCATGTGAAAGAAGATAAATGTGTCCAAATTATTTAATTGAATACAGAATAACAGAGTTGGAAGGAGCTTGGAAGTCTTGTAGTCCAACTTTCTACTCAGGCAGGAAACCCTATGCCCTTCAGACAAATGGTATAGAGTTTCCTGCCTGAGCAAGGGGTTGGACTAGAAGACCTCAACCCTCTTATTGTGGTAATAGTGTTTTTATTTCTATTTACTAGTTCTATTTACTTCTATTCTATTTATTTTGTTTATATTTTGTAAATGTTAGTATCTGTGTTCAGTTTAATGCAAATTGATTTCAATCAATGTTTTTTTCTTTGTTAGATGAAGCTATTTCACCTACATTGTTGGAAGCAAAGTGGAGTCAGATCCTAGATCCTCCGCCTCATCGACTGACTTTAAACCCAGCTCTAGCCAGTGTAAATGAATCAACCATTTCTAAGTGTCCAGAGAAATTGAAATCCTTTTCCCTGTCACATATAGCCACTACATCTATAGGAGGAGGGGATTACTGTTTTAATGGCAAAAATTCTAATATGAGCCAAGAACACACAAACATGTGGATTGATGACCAGGCAACAACCGATGATCAGTTGGTTATGAGAAACAGTAATCCAAATATTCAGTGTAACTCTGTTGATGATGAAGGGAAAAAACGTGGCAGTATAGACTGTTTACCAGAAGAAAAAAACGTTCTAGTTGTAGCAGTCATGCATAACTGTGACAAAAAAACATTACACAATGATTTGCTGGATTGTAAAAGTTATAGCAGCCCCCCTTTAATGGATACTGTTAGCTTTACACTGGATAATGAAGTTCAACAAACCAATCATCTTCATATTACTGTAAATGGGTCTGTTGAAAAAGATACAGATACTGAAAAAGAACCAGTACTAGCAACAAGTCTGAATGCAGGTGAAGATTCTATTAACCATGATATCGCTGCTGCTGCTGCTGCTGCTATTGCTTCAGATTGCTCATCCAGTGACTCTTCTTTGTTAAAGGAGATTGATAATGCAAATAAAGATACTCACTTCTCACAAACTACTGCATCAGGGATTAGAATTCCCTTTCAGAGGTCATTTGACCCAAGCATTAAAGTGCAAGAACAATATGCATCAGTTGAAGATTTAGATACTGATGTAGTTGCTCAGAAAACAGAACTGGAAATCGAAAGTTCTTCACCTAATACACCCAATGATAGCTTTTCCATAAAGACTTCCATAACAGAGCAGATGGCCTCAAAAGTCCAGTCAGGGATAGCTGAGTTCTCTACAACATGTAAGTTGAATGTACTGGGAAGTGGCAATGATTGTGAACCTTCTGATGGATATTTGACCTCTCAAGATGTTACTGCTGTTGAAAATGAAGCTGGCAAATATGATAAAAAACTCAACACAAGTAAATTATTCAGCACTGCTGCTCATTCATCAGATTGTCAAGAGATGACAAATGAAGAACTGACTCAACAAAATGAAGTGGGAAAACAAATAGACACAGAAAATGAAGTACAGCAGCAAAGATACAGTATCAGTGCAGGTAACAGTGATGGCATGTTAGAAATAGATACTGATTTAAAAGGGTCCTCTATAAATGAGCTTGAAAATTCCAGTCCAATTGATGTCACGGGGACATCATTGTCAAGTGGGCTGCCCAATTATTGTGATTCCTATGGAATACAGAACTCAGTTATTGCTCATATTCCAAAGACTTTGCCCTCCAAGGAAGACTCTGTAACAGAGGAAAAAGAGATAGAAGAGAGCAAATCAGAATGCTATAGTAACGTTTATGAACAAAGAGGAAATGAAGCCACAGAAAGAAGTGGACCCACTTCGAACTGCTCTGGTGACCAAATGAGAAAAAAATGTTTGCATAATCTCTGCAGTCAGATTCCATCTGAATCAACTGAAGCATCAGTAAAATCAGCAGCTCATTTACAATCTCTCAGTGTTCCTTTTGGTGGTGCCCGACCAAAACAGCCTACAAATCTTACACTACAAATTCCAAAGCCATTATTGGATCATTTACAGAATGACTTGGTTCCTCCAAACTGTGGTGGAAATAGTAAAAATAAAAATGATATAAGTGAAAAAATAAAAGTAAGCGAAAACGTAGCAACAAATATATATGCTGATGAAACAGTGCAGAATGCTCTGGTCACAGATGCAAGTGGTAAGCATGCAGATGACTATGATTCTGTGATTTCCAGTACTTTGTGCCTTGCAACAGCCTCAGATAGCCCTGACAATGATCTTGGAGCTGGCCAGTTGGGTGTTCATACAAGAAAGCCATTTACTACTTTGGGTGAAGTCGCTCCAGTTTGGGTCCCAGATTCTCAAGCACCAAACTGTATGAAATGTGAGGCCAGATTTACATTCACAAAAAGAAGGCATCATTGCAGAGCCTGTGGAAAGGTAGGCTTACATTTAATTGGAAAAATCTTATAAATAATAGGAGGCCTAGAGTTCAAATAGCCAATTCTAGCACTCGGGTTTTCTGAATGTTTTTGATGTTATTTTCAACAATAAATTGTATTCATTTTTTGAAAATTGCTGAAAGAAAATTAATGACTTAATGCAGGTAATTCCTTTTTTAAAAGAAATATGCACAATTGCTTTAATATGTTTATTTGCATTAGTACCGGTAGTACTCTGGTTATGACCATTAATTCAGTGATTGCTCAAAGATATTGCAGCACTGAATGAGCAGGACCTATGACCGTTCCTTGAAGTTGTGGCCGTTGCATTGTTCCTGTGGTCATGTGATTACAACAAGGGCACTTGGCAACCAGTTGGCAATTGTGATAGTTACAACACTCTATGCTGCAATCACTTGATTGCCATTTGTTGCTTCCTCTGTTGACTTTCAACAAGCAAAGTTAATAGGGAAGCTGACAGGAAGTCACAAGGCATGCCTGCAGGTCCCACCATGTTTTCAGTCACCCATGCATCCACCCACCTGTCCGTGATCCTAAGCACCTGCATGTGCTCCGTAGCACCTGCCCATGGTGCCACTGGTGGCACTTAACCACCTGTTCCACTGCTCTTGCCTGTTGGCCTCCCTCTTCTTTCTACACTGTGATAACGTGAGGCCCTCACCTAACAACCTGTATGATCCTGGGGTAATGGGCAGCAAGTGAGACTGGATTGGCAGTTAGAATAAAATTAATTTTTCAAGGTTATTTCAAGTCAGTATATGATGATAATATGTTTTAACAATTGAATGAGGATCACGTCCATTCTCTGTCATGAAATCTCTTGGAGGAGTTTGGGCCAGTCACTATTTCTTAATCCGTCTTGATCTGTTGCCGTGGGGGAAAATTTTTGTTATAAAATTATTCAGTCTAAAATATGTATAGTGCATAACATATATAATGTATAATATAATATATAATGACTTTTTACATGAGCATTAAGCAATTTTGTTTTATTCTGTAGAAAAAACTAGAACATGCTTGTGTTGGAAATATAGATATTCTGTCCAAATTATTTTAATTAGATGTAACGTAAATATATTTTTCTTATTTTACTTAAGGTTTTCTGTGCAGCGTGCTGTAATCTGAAATGCAAATTGCTGTATATGGATAGAAAGGAAGCCAGAGTATGTGTAATTTGCCATTCGGTACTTATGAATGGTAAGTAATGTTGTTGAAACAATACTCAAGTTTCATTACTTTGTGGTTAATGGAGCCTTTCTAATGTATGAGTGGGGGCTGTTGTGCAGTCCGGTGTAATTTATTTTCATATTAGACATAATTTTAATGAGAAAGCTATTTTCAGAATGATACCAGTAATAACTCTAGTATCTAGTATGTGCCATTGAATTATTGGAGAACGTAACAATTTCTGAAAATGATATGTAGCAAAAAGGCTGGAAATAAAGGCAGTGGCTGGTGTGTTGCCATGAAAAGATTTTTGTCAAAATAGGTGAAAATGGCTGTGTATAAGAGCATGTTTCTGTCTGCTTTGTAGAAGTGAGAGTTGGATACAGTATGTTAGGAGAAACAAAGGTAAATTGAAAGTGTGTGAATAGCATAGTTAAGACGTATGTATGGTAAAACAAGAAAATATGTGATCAAAACTGAATGGTATTCAATGACTTTGGATTGAATACAAGGGTAAGTTAGCACAAAGAGCGATGAGTGAAGATCACATCACATCACACACACACAGAGACACAAGAAAAAGTAAAAGTGAATGAATTGAGAAGAAAAGGGAAGACTGAGAAAGCTGTAGTTGGTTGAAGTTCCTCAGAAAGAAAGAAATGGGAAGTTTAAAGAATAAAATGCAGTACAGAAAATGTATAGACGTAATAGAAGCCAAAATGTTTTGCATGGATGGGAAGGAATAGAGAGAGATATTAAACGGTTGTGGTGTAAGCTAGATTTAGCTTTTATTTGCTTTTCTTTCCTCTCATACCTTTAACTTTTTTGCTTATTGCTTCTCATTCGTTTTCTGTACTTTCCGTAACTGTGCTTACCCAGAAAGGGAGTAGTGCAATGGGTATGTATTTTCTATAGCGCTTGTCATATATATTGGCCTATGGTAAATGGATTGGATCCACATATGTACAGATCCAGCTGTCAGTTGTAGAAACCTACTTTGACGTGCTAATGAAAGATCTTCCACATTTGTCATGAATGAAAAATATTTATCACAAAGTATACATTCTGAAGACCAGGTACCATTATTTCTGCTCTCTGAACTATAATAATAATAACAATAATAACAATAATAACAATAACAACAACAACAATAATAATAATAATATAAAAATAATAATAATGTTGGAATGGACCTTGGAGGTCATCTAGTCCAACCCCCTGCTCAGGCAGGAAACCCTATACCATTTCAGACAAATGGCTGTCCAGTCTCTTCTTAAAAACTTACAGTGTTGGAGCATTCACCACTTCTGGAGGCAGGTTGTTCCACTGGTTAATTGTTCTAACTGTCAGGAAGTTTCTCCTTAGTTCTAGGTTGCTTCTCTCCTTGATTAGTTTCCATCCATTGCTTCTTGTCCTGCCTTCAGGCGCCTTGGAAAATAGCTTGACTCCCTCTTGTAAGTTTAAAAAGATAAACATCATTTAAATCTGCATAGCATAATCATATTAATTCATTTCTCCTACCCAAAGTAGGCAGGGCAATAAATAGATTTTATAATAAATAACAGTGTAACTACTTTTGAGATTAATTTACTAAGTTAAAACAAAATCACAAACTGATATCAATCATGCATGCTCTAATGCTCACCTGATTGGATTACTGTATGTGGAGCTGACTTTAGGACAGGGGTGTCAAACTGCATGATACAAGGCCACGCCCACCCCAGCTCTGACAATGCAAAAAAAGTCGTGATACATTGCCACACATCACGTGATGTGTGAGTTTGACACCTGTGCTTTAGGAGATCATCTGGAAGTTAGCTACAGCTGGTATTGAATGAGGCAGCCAAGCTCCTAGGGTAGGGGTGTCAAACTGCCAGCCAGATGCATCATAACAAAACCGTGCCCACCCCATTGCTGGCAATGGCAAAAAAGTTACGATACGTTGTGATACATCATGTGACGTTGCGAGTTTGACACCCCTGTCCTAGGGGAACAAGCCAAACACTGTTGAATTACACCTATATATAACATCTATAATGTTAAGTTGTTATGTTTATTGCCAGTAGGTTGTGAATTCTGTTCAAAAGGCTAGTAGTTTCCTGTCACTGTTAGCATGGTATTGGGCTATATCAGGCAATGCTGGATCAGAACTAAATCTACTCATTTATAGAAGGCCTTTTGAAATTTGAGGAATCTGGAGTAGAGATGAAATAACACACCCTCTCTGTAGTAGCCTCTAGTTTGTGGAATATTTTCTGTGTATATTTAATAAACCAAATGCAATTTATTAATGTCGTCCCGTCTCAAGTTCTGTTCCTCTGCTCTATCAGCTTCTGGACTTTTGGCTTCTCTCTATAAGTATTGAAAAAAAATCTTGTAGCAGTCTTCACTACATAAGGACAAATTCAGTCATAATTCAGCAAACATTGTTTGACAAATCTAGCCAAATTGTTATTAAAAATCTATTATTAGTAGCCTTGGCTCTGTGATCCTAGTTTCACGGTGATAATAATTCCATAATGGTAATCTGAAATAATTAATTCTTTTAACTTAAGCACTTCCTTGCTCTGTTTGCCTTAACTTTAGTTGCTATGGCTAGTGAGTTCATTACATTACCTCTGTATTTCTAATAAAAGGAAAACAAGGACTTATTAAATTTAATTTTACATGATAACAATTTCCTTTCTTGTATTTTTATCTTTTCTTAGCTCAAAGCCTGGAGAATATGCTGAGTGCCCCTAGTCCGAGCCCCAATCCTAACAATCCTGCTGAATACTGTTCTACCATTCCTCCCTTGCAGCAAGTCCAGGCTTCTGGAGTGCTGAACTCTCCACCACCTACTGTTATGGTCCCAGTGGGAGTCTTAAAGCATCCAGGTACTGAAGGTATGGATCCTTGAAAATGTATGCCTCCCTGGTCAGTCCGGTTATTAATTTCAGTCGCCTCATAAAATTTAGCTTAGGCCAAACCTATCTTATTTCAAATTACCCTTGGGACTGTGAGTTTCCTCAGCAAATAATTATGCCTCTTCTTTAAACCATGAAATCTAGGTGACGACTGATCTCATGGAGTTGTATAGTCATCTTACACATGTGTGAGTGATAATGAAAACATATCTGCATAACTTACCTGGGGTGTAATTCAAACTTGTTCCTGTGACGTTTGGTTAATTGTGGTCTTGGAACGCTTACAAATATTGTTCAGCTTGCGTTAGAAAATATATTTCTGTATCACTGTTTTGCATTTAGCTTCATTTCTTCTCATGCATGTATTTCTTTCATAAAACTAATCTCATATTTCTATGTAGTGACTCAGCCTAGAGAACAAAGACGTGTTTGGTTTGCTGATGGGATCTTACCCAATGGCGAAGTTGCTGATGCAGCCAAATTAACAGTGTCTGGAACAAGTTCCACTGGAGCACTTGCAGTATCACATGATCCAAGCAAGCCCATAAGCAACAACACTTTGCCAGAAGAGGTGAATGACTGCCCTTCTTTATTATATAATATATTGTGTACTATTCATGGCATAGGAAAGAGAATGCTTTAGATTTCCTTGTATACAGCATAGAACCAATTTGATGTAGTGGTTAAAGCACTACACTAGAAACTGTGAGACTGTGACTTCTAGACTGGAAAGCACCCCTCCCCCCAAAAAACCCAAAATAAAAAACAAAACATGGTTAATAGTATATAACTTGAGCATACTTGAACAGCATGGGAGATGACAACAACAACAATAATAGTAATAATAAAAAATGCTGCATGACACTTGGTGACTCAGGGGGCTTATAACAAATCAATAAAACATAAAAGATAATACTAAAAGAAGATGGCAAGCATGATGAAGTGAAGGGTCTCACTCTTTCTCAACAAAGGCTTGAGTGAAAAGCTATGTCTTTTGTGGCTCTTCTAAACAACAGAATGTAAAGGCCATCTGGATCTTTGGGGAAGAGCAAACTCTACTACAGAAAAGTTGCACATCCAGTGTCTTCATAAATGACATTGTTTAATTGAAGGAATTTGGAATGTGCCAACTCTGCAGGATTGAATCAGCTGGATAGATGTTATGGGAGATAGGTAGTTCCTCAAATACCCAGGCCTTGTAGGAGTAATAATAAATTGCAACCAGAAGCAAACCAACAAGTGGTGCAATTTGCAAAACAGAAGTGCTTCATGGACATACTGAGGCATGACCATTATTATTTATGCTGTTGTATTCTAGAATAGTTGAAGTGAAGTTGGGTGGTCTTCAAGGTAGCAATATGTAGAGCACACTGAGTTGTCAAACCCTGAGATGACTAGAGCATGAGTGATCCTTGATCTAGGAAACAGGACAACTGGTACACCAGATGGAGTTGTGCAAAGGTCTTCCTTGCTACTGCTGACACCAGCTTGTCAAGCAGGAGTTGTGAGTCCCAGAAGTCCCCCAGATTGCATATCATCCTTGAAGAGAGAACTGCTACTTCATACATGGTGAAAGATGGAATATCCCCAGATCTGGACGGCCAATTCAATCACAATCTTGACAGAATTGAAACAATGGGAATGAGAAATTAATGAAAATGACCCCCATTCTTTCAGCTTAACATCTATGGTAACTCTAAATCATGTTTTGTATATATTGTAGAAATGAATTGTTTTTGTATCCATGTATAAGGAAATTATTCTATCAGATTATAGATATAGATGAATACTATTGTCTCGATCCTCTTACATAAGATCTTACTGCAGTTTTTGTACCTTTTATTTGTAAAGTGAAGATTAGATTAAGGTTTACTTAATTTAAATTATTCGATATAGACAAATTCCAATTAACTCTGGGCAATATACAATAAAACCAACAGAATAAAAACAGAATACTGTAATTATAAAAATATCCAACAAAAAATGATGATGGATCTGATTAACTATAGCCACACACAATCTGGCAGAAGCCCGAAGAACCCTTATCCAAGGTCTGGGGAAAAAGGCATTTCAGAATGCCAGCAAGGTGAGAGTTACATAAATATCAGATTGAATCTTGTTCCAGAAGACAAGCAAGAGGACATAGAAGGTATGTATCCGGCCCTTGAGGGATGGCAGTGTTTAATTGAAGGGACTTAAAGTGTTCCAACTCTCTTGGATCGAACAGACCAGGCTGATACCATGGAGGACAGATGATCCCTCAAGTAGCCAGGCCCTATGACATATAAGGTTTTATAGATCATGAGCAAAACCTTGGAAGCGTGCAGGTAACTAGCCTAGCTTGTTGAAGCTGTCACATGGGCATATAAAGGCATGCTCATCACTGCTTGCACTTTGCATTCTAGATCAGTTCTGAGTGGTCTTCAAGGGCAGCTCCAGTCATGTTGTGAAGTGATTAGGGCTTGACTTGCTATACCCAATGTTTTTTGTTATATCTTGTAGACTGAAAACACACTTGCATTTTCAAGAAATATAACTCAGGTTGGAAGTCCCGTTGGCAGTGCAATGAATCTTATTCCAGAAGACGGGCTTCCTCCAATTCTCATCTCTACTGGGGTAAAAGGAGGTGAGTGGTGGATGCTAGTGTGTAAATGAAAAATACAATATTATATCGAATAGAAATTTCTTCAACTTGTCTTTTAATTAGTGGTGGATAAGATTGTCTTTTAATAAGTGGTGGATAAGATTATGCCTAACGAGGGTGCTGTTATTTGTTTTACACAAGTGGGAATTCTGTGGTAGCACTATGTTTGTTAATGTATTAGAAATCAATGGAGAATATGGAAATGTTCATTAAGAAATAATAAAGATAATTGCGAGAAATAATATCTTTGTTAATCAGCATAGCACCAATTTTTGTGACAACTTATAATTGTTTAAATTGTTCTAGTATTTCTCAAACATACTGTTTTCATAGCTCTTGGGGTTTTGCTCATCATAGTTTTTCAGATCCAGACATTTTAGAAATGTCATCTGTTTATGTTTCCCATGTATGGCAGTTTTAAATTAAAACTAAAATGCATTAATTAAACAGTTTAAGGCAAATATTTAAAACCCAAAGCATGCATGCATACATATAATTGCATTACCCCTTCCATAGGTGTATTTAAAGTCACCATAATTGATACTTCATGATTCCCAGGTGGGAGAATATTCTCATAGAGGAGGCTCCTTTCTGTGTAATCAGCAGCTGACAATGTATAGACCATGATATAATCAGGAATCCTTCCTGGGGAGACTTTCTGAAGAAATCTAAAGATAAAGAGAATTACTCCAGATATAATCTGGCACTAAGGTTTTTCATAACTTGCAAAATCTTAAATGTGACAGAACAGCTAATAGGTAGACTGCACATTTGTTTCAAGACTGCTACATTCTGTTTATTCGGGTCTTAATTTGCCATCCAGCATTCAGCAAACATCAAAAGTTTGAATTTAAAGAAGCAGAATAAGAAGTGTATTGATCCCTTTGAACTTTGATATTGGAGACTCCTGAAAGCAATATGGACAGCCAAGAAAACAGAAGATCCATCACAAGAAAAGTAATGGATCATCTAACAAACATCAACCCTTAATTCTCACTTGAGGTCCAAATGACCAATCTCAAGTTATGCTACTTCTATCTAAATTCTATCCTACTACAAGGATAGCCCAACACAAAGCTTATTGCAATAACATAAATATAATACTAATTTATAGTAGAAACTAGGCAGTTTTATAAAAAAAAATGAAGTATGTATTGAAGACAAACCCAAAAGTGTCATATAAACAACAGGAGAAAAAGAAAAAAGCTTACAGAAAGGCAGATTTCAATCAGGTGTTAGGAAGAAATTCCAAAACACCTTCTTCAGGAAAACCTGGATAGACATTTGATATAGATGCTTTAATTTGGATTCCCCACTCCCTATCAGAGGATGGAGTTGAATTTGATAGCCTGAATTTCTGTTTCTAATACTATGAGTCTAACATAATAGATTTTCTTGTACTTAAAACCTTGTGCATTTTTCAGCAAATGACACATAATCTTTCTTTGTTTTAGATTATACTGTAGAAGAAAAACCATCTCACATATCAGTGATGCAACAGCTGGAAGATGGTGGCCCTGATCCTCTTGTATTTGTTTTAAATGCAAATTTATTGTCTATGGTTAAAATTGTAAATTGTAAGTCCCAGTTACTTCAAGTTGATAGCGAATATCTATCTATTAACTACATTTATGCTTTGTTGTTATATTTCTGCTAACAAACAATTATTCTTCATTAATGGTGGGCAGGTTCTTAGTAGGTACTGTTTGCAAAAGTTCAGAAAAAAGTTTGTAAGATTTTTTGGAGAGGGTGAGGTTGGGGACACATGAAAATTTTAAATGTCTGTTTATCTGGTAATATGGATTTCTTGACTCAGGAAAATGACAGTAATGTAATAGAGAAGAATCTCCATTTAATGTTCTGAATAATAATGAAATTGTTAAAATTATATTTCCATCATCAGGTGTGTAAATTTATTACATGTGTTAACATTTCATATCATTTTTAACAGTTGCTGCAGAAGATGTGACATTGGCTTAGAATGTGATATTATGTAGCACTTTGCAAGTTTCTTTTTAAAAATATTTTAATTAGAAAAATAACAGAAGAAAGAGGAGTTAAATATATTTAGGTTTTATTAATTATTGTGGTGGTGGTTTTTATTTTGTATTTTTATTATACATCGCTCAAAGTCTTAACTGGGCAATTCATAAATATTGTAAGTAAATAAATTCCAGACCATCCAGTGCAGTGTTCTTGATCGACATACATACATACCTCTTATGGATAATACTTATAAAATATTTATTTTGATAAACACACAGCATTCTATAGTGTGTGAATTTTTTTTATTTTTTGCAGATGTGAACAGGAAATGCTGGTGCTTTACTACAAAGGGAATGCATGCAGTAGGCCAATCAGAAATAGTAATTCTTCTCCAATGTTTACCTGATGAAAAATGCTTACCCAAGGATATTTTTAACCACTTTGTGCAACTTTATCAAGATGCCTTGGCAGGTAAAACTTTGACCATTTTAAAAACTATGATGATTGATGGCACCTTTTAAAATTGTTAAATATATCTTTTGCAGTTCTGAACCCATTTAGAATAGTTGAGGAGATTGGGAGCATCCACCTTGAAATAATTGCCATAGGGTATGTCCATTTACAAATTAGTGGAGCCATTTTATTATACCATGAAACAGTTTCTCCCATTCTTTTATTATTCCATTGTTTCTTACATGCAAGAAAGTAATTAGGAATTGGGGCAACTTATAGCTACTTAACAAGGTATTCAACTAAATAGCTCAAATTTCTGAATAATATTAGCTCCCCTCTAAGATTGGTGCCACAGTGAAAGTACTGGCTTATAGGTAAAGGAAGCGCTCCTGTGGATTAGCATTTGCATCTTGAGTTCTGGTAGAAAACTCGAAAGTCATACATGCATGTTGGTGTTTTTCTTGCTGACAGTATACCTGAAAAAAGTAATTCCGCAAACCTGTAAAGGGAGCCTTAGGGACAAATTTGAATGCAAAATTCATTGATCAATTAATTGATTCTGGAGTTGGCATACCCTGTCTTGAATATCTTTAGCTTTTCATAAAATACAGAATTATTCTACTCTACCATTAAACAAAGTGCTTCTCACTTGTGATCATGCGTTATTTATTACCTTCCCATAATTTGTTTTTGAATATTGCTTTTTGGGCACACTGTTCTGTAATATTGGGATGAGGGGTCTTTAGTGCTCTCTGAACTTGCTTGTTTTCTGCCAGACGTTTCATTACCCTAACTAGGTAACATCATCAGTGCTAGTAAGGAGTGCTGTTTGCTGTCAGCTTATATTCTGGTGTCTTGCCTGTCTATGTGGGTGGGGGCGGTCTTAGGGATTCTTCAGTTGGGCTGTAATATTGTGAGAAACAGGACTTTGGGTAGAGTAATTTGTAATAGCCAAATTTTACCTGGGTAGGATTCAGTATTTTACATTTTTTTAGTGCACACAAGTAAATTAATTCATGAATTATGTGTTGGATAGCAAAAAGTATTCTTACTTTGTGAGTGGATGATCTTCATGATTTTTAACTTCTTACATACATTCATTTAGTGGCGCACAAAGCGTATTTAATATCTATTGTGACATTATAATATGTGTGAGAAAAGAAAGCAATAGATTAACCCAAAGTTTATCACAATCAGCTTATTATCTGGTACAGATGCAGTGAATCTAATTATTGCATCATAATAGTTTTTCATATATAGAAAATTTGCTTGAAATAGAAGTATTATATATACTTTTCAAAAGTAGGTAAAGGATTTTCATTATAACAAAGGGATTTTTCACAGGAATTAGGATACTTTCTGATCAAAGTATCTGTTATATACTTTGTGCTGTTAGTATATTATACTACATGTGTGTGCAACTTTATTCCTATAAAATTGTGATATTTTCTACAGCCAAGCTAGCAGTATTCAGCATGAACAAAGGACCTCAAGTATCAAATGCTGTGGGTTACTTACTGATTCTTCCTCTTAAACTTTTCTGATGTTCCCACTGTGGGAGGACATATCCAATTATATCACTGCAACTATTCTCAGCATCCTAAGCTAGCCCACAGACACTTCTGTGGTGAGGGACTTATCTCAATATGAATATTGAGTTAAGGTTCCTCTGCCAGTCCAGTAGGCTACCATATTGAACAAGGGTGGAATATCATTTGTCCTATAGGCAAGTGGACATCATCTTCACTGATAGTTGGTTTTTAAAGTTTGTTAAGCCACAGTGGATAAAGAAAAGGCTAGGGCAGGGATAGGCAACCTTGGCTCTTTTATGACTCGTGGACTTCAACTCCCAGAATTCCTGAGCCAGCAGCTGGCTCAGGAATTCTGGGAGTTGAAGTCCACGAGTCATAAAAGAGCCAAGGTTGCCTATCCCTGGGCTAGGGGAAGTTATGTGCTTATCTATTCCAGCTGCAATATGGTTTTAAAGTCTCAAGTTCTTTTTCTCACATAACGTGTTCTACAATTCCAGGTCCTTTACTGGAATTTCTTAAGTTCCAGTTTGCAGCTCTAAATGGAAATAAGAAAAAAAACATTAAACAAATGCTATCTTAACAGAAATGATTTGCAATATTTGCTTTTTCTGAGCATATATATCTTGAGACAAGTGTCTAAAACTGTCAGTGTAGCAACTCAGTTATGGTATGCAGACATATGTATTTTGAATGAATTGACAGTGGGATCTAAGATGATCTCTTTCAGAAATGTCATTCCAAAAGGAATGCAAGCAGTGCCTTACTGGAATTAAGATGGGAAGTAAGAAATCATTTTACTTTTTTTTTAATAATCAGAATTCCGAAATATAATCAGTTAGAAAAACAGATTTTTATATAAAAAAAAACTATGTATGCGATGATTGGATTGTTTGAACCTGATAAAATTTATGTTGCATTTCAGAATAGTGCCAGCCTGCATTCTATTTAGATTGCCATTTGGCTACATTCAAGTTTAGTTCCTGTCTTGAAACCAGTGAACTCTAGTTATTTTTTGAGAGGAGAGGGCATTATCTAAGAATGGAGATGAGGAAGTTCATCTTGCTTCTTGTCTATTATTGGGCACTCTCATGCAGGGATTTTATTCTGACAATGTTTTACAAGGCTACAACATAATAGCACTTCCTAAATCCGTGGTGGTGAACCTATGGCATGTGTGCCACAGGTGGCACGCAGAGCCCTCTCTGTGGGCACACACACCATCACCCTAGTCCTAGGCTTTCAGCTGGGTTTTATAAAACCTTTTTGCTTTAGGCTTCCGCCGCCGTGTGCAAAAAAAAGAGGTTCAATCAATCAATCAATCAATCAATTTCAACTTCTCGCATGAAAAAAAAGATCTCGCAAAGTTGGAATTGATTGATTGAACTTTTTAGTCCCACCCAGTCTGCCGTTACCACCAAAGCCACACCCACCCAATGGGCCACACCCACCCAATGGGCCATGCCCACCCAGCACCCGACAATACATAAGTGGGTTTTGGGTTGCAGTTTGGGCACTCGGTCTCTAAAAGGTTTGCCATCACTGTCCTAAATAGTCTGGGAGAATCACTTTAGATTTGTGACTGGCATACTTGCGGTAAAACAAGTTTTGTTTTGCCCTCTGCTATATCAAACCACAATTAGTTGTTACCAAAGTTGTATCTATCTATTCTTTGTGTATATTTTTTATGTTTATTGAAATGAGTTGACGATCATTACTATTTAAAACCAAGCTGGGTGACAGTGCCTAATCCATCTCATTTGAACTCAAAAGCTAGTAGGCTATTAGGGTTGTAGGCAAGTCTGGCTAGCCAAAAGAAGAAGCCAGTGGCCTTTAATCTTTGTTTTAATGTCTCTCAGAAATTACTTCAGTGTCAAGGTATACTTCAGTATGTGGAAGTTCTTGTTTTCCAACTTATTAAGTGTCAGGCTAGACTTGTATGTTAATGGATTGTTAGAAATAATAATTAAGGATGATGACTAAAGCAGGAGATCTTGAGAAGTTTAATGAATTTATTCATAACTTAAGCATATGTAATTCATAAATTTTATTTTTATGCTTTTCCTAAATACTAAGATGCTCGGATTCCATTTTCAGCTGTAAGACTTCTAGATACATGAAATAACCTTTTGGGAGTAATACTGTTTTGGAATACAAATGATATGTGAAATATTGCGATGTTAACTGAGTAAAAGTCAGATTTGTTTTTTGCTTTAGTATGTTAATTAAAATTTAATATTAGTCTGTTTTAACATTAAATAATTCATTTTGTTCTATGATTACTAGTAGAATAAGGTTATATGCAATTTTCTGTTTTGATGGTATATGTACCGCTAAAATAACCATGCTTTTGGTTTGGTAGGTAATGTTGTGAGCAACCTAGGACACTCATTTTTCAGTCAGAATTTCCTTAGTAGCAAGGAGCATGGTGGCTTTCTATACGTTACGCCTGCGTATCAGTCACTGCAGGACTTGGTGCTTCCCACCCCACCATATTTATTTGGGATTCTTATTCAGAAATGGGAGACTCCTTGGGCTAAAGTTTTTCCAATCCGACTGATGCTAAGACTCGGAGCTGAATACAGATGTAAGTCCCATTTTTTTAAAAATTAGAAATATATCTTATACTACTTTGGGAAAAACCTACGGAATGGCACAGAGAAGAATTTGAGGTTTTTTTTGGGTGGTAACACTTTGGGATAATAACTTTTTAGTTTTTTATTTTGGAGTTTCTTTTGTTCATATAAAGGGAACCAGGAGTGGTTCAAACATCAGATTAAGCGATAATACAATGTGCTTGCATAATTTGTTCTGTGAAATAAGCCAGTGGTTTGTACAGTGTGGTTTTATGGCTTAATTTGATGTGTGAATCCAGCAAATGATACCTTATTCAGCAAAACGGAGTAAGGCAAATTATAAGTTAATCATTAGATCTTACGTGCTGTGTGAACATAGGTTCTGTTTTTTCTTCTTGATTTGAATCTCATAACTTTAATTTTTCTTTCACTAAAAAGCTTTTAAGTTTTTAAATAAATAAGATTGCATGTTTTTTCTTTACGTATTATGCTTATAAGAATTATAAGACAAATTCAGTTATAGAGCTAACTATATTAGTGACATATCATGAGCCGAGGTGGCGCAGCAGTTAGAGTCCAGTACTGCAGGCCACTTTAGCTGACTGTGTTCAGCAGGTCAGTGGTTCAAATCTCACCGGCTCAAGGTTGACTCAGCCTTCCATCCTTCCGGGGTAGGTAAAATGAGGACCCAGATTGTTGGGGGCAATGATATATATATATATATATATATATATATATATATATATACACATACATACATTGCTTACTGGTGTACACTGCTTAGAGAGTGCTTGCACTTAAAGCGGTATGTATATAAGTCTCATAAATAAATAAATAAATAAATAAATATTTCTTAATGAATATAGGGGTTGAGACAGTTTGCTTTCTGGCCTCCATTCAGTGTTTCATTTGTATGTGTACTTATTGAAAAGGCAAATGAAACTTAAGCCAACTTGATAGAAAGACTGGTACTAAAATCAGGAGTGATGGCACCAATATCTTTTTGTTGCCCTGTGTAAATAAATACATAGCAAGCTGATATTTTAACCCAGTGTTTTAACTCAATTACAAGGCATATTTGTTTTAATAAAAGTTCTTGAGTAATGAGGCACCAACATGATATAAAGATTCCAATTGCCCTATTTATGTGTGATAATATAATAATAGCTATTATTTTAATATTTCTGTTAATCCTATATCTACTTTTCTAGCAAATGTAAACTTCTCAGAAAATAAATCTGAATTTTGGGGTTTTTTTTTTTTTTAGTGTATCCATGTCCACTTTTCAGTGTCAGATTTCGTAAGCCATTGTTTGGTGAGACTGGTCACACAATTATGAATCTTCTTGCAGTAAGTAATAATTATAAGGATTTGTTTTTCCTTTGCTCTGTCATATTTAATGAAGAAAGTGTGTATGTTTTGGTATTTTCATTTACCTACACAATTATGTTGAAAAGTTCCAGAATTGGATTATAGGCTTTTTCTTTTATTTGTGTATATATACTAAATATGTGACCTTAAACATATCTTAAGATTTGAATTGTATCTTCTTATAGTTATAGATATACTGCTCATATTAGATACAGTCATATTAAGATGTTAATAAATGAAATATTCAATGGTATTTCTAAAATCAGAAGATTTAGATATGTTGCCTAAATAAAACTGTTGCTTTCTGGAAACAAAATAATATTTTGGGCATGTCTTTTTCCACATTTAAAAGATTTGTGCTATATGTAAATGCATTTATGGTAAATGAATAGTATTTTCTCAGTCTTTAGGAAGCAGAATTGCGATAGGCAAGTTGGGTGGGAGGAAGTTGATAGTCACATGGATACTATCTTCCTACCATCAGCTAAGCAAGTTATTTCACTTGTCAGGCCTATATTGTAAACTAATTCTGTTGTATAGTTGCCATTTAAGAAAGTATCTCACTGGAAACTATTTGTCATCATTTACAAATCCCACTTTGATTTTTCATATTGCCTCTGAAATCAACTGTATGCTTTGCTATTCTTTACAGAATAAAATAGTTATTACAACAGAATTTAATGCATGTTATTAAAATATTTCTGTATCAATTCATAATATATGAAATGTTAAAGTTTAATTATGATCACTAGCTGTCATGATTTTGATTATTCTCTGTGTGACAGGACTTCAGGAATTACCAGTATACATTACCAGTTGTCCAAGGCTTAGTGGTTGATATGGAAGTGAGAAAAACGAGCATAAAAATTCCCAGTAACAGATATAATGAGGTATGTGGCATAAATAGATAGAATACACTCAGTTTTGAAATCCACTACAAAGATAGTTTTATTAAATAAAATTCTGATTCATATTACTGTAGTCTAAGTGCTCATTTTAAAAAATGACTTGTTTTCCTATACTTTATATGTAAATCCTTTTTGAATTAATTTACCTAATAAACATATTACCAAATAATTAATATTGGAGAAGTGAGTCCAAAGATTGTGTTCTAAAGACTGTTTAGCATTAGTTTTGACATGATTTTGCCAAGGCTTTCCAGCGATTAATTAAATTTGCGAACTGTTTACTGTTTATCTGTAATCCCATAGTACCGTATCTCTTAACATGATCTAAATATTTAAGCTCTGTTTAAACAAACAACACCCAAAATTGCCACGTCATGTCTCACATTGAGCCACCATTCACTATATTTCTGTGTGTGTGTGTGTGGGGGGGGGGAAATATGTGAAGCTTAGAATTAGCGAATAGTGGCACTTTTTTGCTACAACAATTTCAGCCAGACATTTTCCATGCCTGTTGATCAGTCTTGCATATTAGCTCAGCTTGGAGGTAGGTAGGCCTGTAGCATTCTTCTTCACTGCTTCAAGTTATTGGTATTTGTGGGTTACGTTGCGTGAATTTTTATCTTCAGTTCATGCTGTAGTATTTCAGATGGGTCAAGGACAAAATTCCAAAACGGTTCCTTGTTCCTGGACATTACATAGTAGCATAAATTTAATCATGCATTTAAGATTGTAGTCTTGCTGTATGATTCATATGTATTTAAACTTTATCTTATCAATGAATTCCGTCATATCCTGTAGAAATTGCAGATGCAATCTAGAATCCCTTGTTTCCCTTGATTACTAGCCATTTTATTTTCATCACCGTACTTTATGGTTGGGATGATGTTCTATTGTTAAAAAGCAGTGTTTTGTTGCTTGAATATGGATTGAGAAAGCCTCTGGCAGTGATACTACTGCCATTTTAACCTTATGAGCACTGATAACACTTTTCTGAAGTCTGCAGAAATCTCTTTTAGTCAATTATTCACTTCCCCAAATCTATTTCAAGAAGAGTAAACTCTAATTGTGAGACCTTTCATTCGGTCTCTTGCATCCGATAGCCATCTGACAGATTGGAACACTTAACCAATTTATCCTCCTTAAGAGAGCTGATTATCTTTTATTCATATACTTTATCCAACAAAGACAATGAATGTGGCTCAGGATATTCATCAAAGGGAAGATGTGGGTCAGTGCTTTGGAGGTTGTTTGTTTAACCAGAATCCAATGGGATTTAGATGAAGCTCTGATCACATTGTAGATCAAGATTATGAAAAATTCTAAATCCTTTAAAATAATTCAACACTGTATATAGTTTGTCCTCTAGGAATAATCCTGAGGAGATATTTTCCCCAAGTATCAAAATGTTTGTTTTTAAGTCACAGGCCATATTACACATTAATGGCAGGTGCTCTATTTTGGGGCGTTTGTTGCAGATGATGAAAGCCATGAACAAATCCAATGAGCATGTTTTAGCAGGTGGTGCATGCTTCAATGAAAGAGCAGACTCCCATCTGGTTTGTGTGCAGAATGATGATGGCAACTATCAGACTCAGGCCATCAGTATTCATAATCAACCAAGGAAGGGTGAGAGTTGTTGACAGTGTTTTCTACATAAATATTGATTTCCTGAATTATTTCTTTTAGTTTTTAAAGCTGCTATTGAGTCTTTAATTTTATAAGCATATGAAATACAAAGGCAGAATTTTCAGATGTTGGTTTTTAAATTAGCCATCAAACTTCAATTATTTCTTAATGTTGGAATTTTGGCACTGCGCTTCAAGTTTGTTGAATTTTGGTACTGCACTAATTCTGTATGTTTCCTCTTGTCTTAAAATTAAAGAATTGTTAAGGAGCATTTTTTTTAACTTGCCAGAATAAGACTTGTGCTATCTTTCTGTAATAGAATCTCATAGAATCTTGGCCTGTTTAAGTTTTTGTATTATTTTTGGTAGTCTTTCTCTGAGCAAAATGATGCATGAGGGTTCATGACCCAAACTAGTAACTTTTTCAACTCTACTAAAACCCTTGAGTATGAAGTGGAGAACACAATAATAAACACACATCTTGAAAACAGATTGCAAAATGGAGTAATAGTGATCAAGTATCCTTTTAACTCTCAAATTTCCCAGAACATTTCAATTGGCCTAAAATATGTACTTTATATTTTTGTTTAAACATAGTAATTGCATAATTTAGTTTTTCTTTGTATTGTTCGCTGTTTTGTTATTGAATTAAATGGACATTTTATATTTACATTTTAATATGTCTCATTGTTGCAGTGACTGGAGCCAGCTTCTTTGTATTTAGTGGAGCTTTAAAATCATCTTCAGGCTATCTTGCAAAGTCCAGTATTGTAGAAGGTAAGATTTCAGTGTTTTATTTGTTTATTTATGAAAGTATAAACAAACTGCTTTGCAAAACAGGTTTCATAAAAAAGGAAGCCAATAAAAATTAACAATTGCACAATGATAAAGGTAGACATTCTTTTACAGATTATGCACTTATGTATTTAACCACCCTTATAGAATGATGTTTTTCTACAGTCTAATCTAGTTCAGCTTTCAAATTCTTCCCAAAGTGAATAGTACTGTATTAAAGGCATGGATACTAATTCTTGTTCACAAAAATAGACGTAAATGGTCACTGATGACTCTTTTGTAAAGACTTTGATTTTAGAAAAACAATTGCTCAATATATTTTTAAATTCTGCATTATTCTTACTTTACCAACTCTACCATTTCCTTAAAGATGAATATAAAGCTAAGAGTAGATTCAGGTAATAATGGAAATTAATATATCCTATTTATTGTTCTTGATTTTTAGACAATGCTGTGGGCAATTCAAGTCATGAGCTCCCAGTTTCTACCTTAACCACCATACCAAAGTGGTTTTCCATCTGTATAATAATACATAACAATTGTAAAATTCATTGATCAGGATATTAGGCTCTCCTTTTTCATACTCTACGTGCCATTTCAACAATATATTGTGTGGAATTTTGTAAGTGCTTGTATCTTTTCATATGTAGATGGTGTGATGGTACAGATAACAGCTGAAAATATGGACTCCCTGAGGCAAGCTCTGAGGGAGATGAAAGACTTCACAATTTCTTGTGGAAAAGTGGATGCTGAAGAACCTCAAGAACATGTGCATATTCAGTGGGTGGATGATGATAAAAACTTCAACAAAGGGTACCTCAATAACTTTTTATTTTATTTGGGTTTATTGAATTGCTTCACATGTAATGCTGAGCTATAATTAACATCATGTGAACCAACAGAAATCTGCTATACATAATGCTCTGGTGGAGAATTTTTCCATTCTATCTCCTGCATAGCCAAAAAAAGGAATAAATTGGACTTTAGCTTCAAAGGAATGTCTGAATGGTGTGCACTAATCTGCATTTTCTTTTTGCCCAGCCAGAGTTGTGTTTCCTGATAGGGCATGCTCGTTGAAATATTCAGATTAACTTAGATAATGTCTCTTACATGACTTTTCATATACTGTCCATGTTTAAAGTCTACATTCAAAGCCAGTAGCTTCATTTACTAATCTATAGTCCATATATATATTGTGTGTGTGTGTGGTAAACTAGAATAACCAAGCTCAAATTAGAACAGTTGTTAAAGATTCTCTCAGAGAATTTCTTATATATAGCAGAGATGCCACCATACTTTTAACAGTTCTGTGGATGGTTTTTAGCTCTTCTATAATATATGTTTAAGGATTTTAATATTATACTTGACCAGAAAGGGATGCTTGGATGAAAGTTGTTTCACCTAAAAACTATCTGGTGATTCTTCAGATAAGCTATTTTAAATATGTAACATGTTTTAACTGCTCCTATTTCAATATGCTTCATTATTCTTTTATATGAACTTATTTTGATAAACAGACCCAGAGTTTTACATTGTTTATTAAATTGGACCAGCATTGATAATTACCTAAGCATATGAAGGCAGGACTTAAAGCAGTATTAAATCCTACTGCTAATAGAGCTATCTCTTCCTTCCACATTTTAGTGTTGTAAGTCCTATTGATGGGAAATCTATGGAGTTTATAATAAGTGTGAAGATATTCCATGGTTCAGAATATAAAGCAAATGGGAAGGTCATTAGGTGGACAGAGGTGAGGAAATCACATTATTTTGTATGTAAAAGCTAGAATCTTTATTATTATGTGATAGTAACTCACATATATGAGAGCCAGTGCAGTGTTGTAGTTAATACTGACTTGATCTGGAAGACCCACATTAAGTCCTTACATGATCACAAAGCTCATTGGCTGATTGTCGGGTAGAGTCCATCAGCTTAATCTGCTTCATATAATTATCAGGATTTATCCCAATGTATGCTTTGAGCTTTGAAAGGATAATACATAATTGCAAAAATAAATTAATAAATTTACATAGCTACCAATATGGGAAATAGAGCATCAAAATTTGCATAATATTCCACCAATTATTCTACAGTGGAATGTGAACATATTCCCTCTTAACATTCCATTTGTGTGTGGAATGGTTGCAAGCACACTTGTGTATCATAACTACAACTATAAAATTTAATTAAGGTCACTTTTAAAGACATGTTTATTATTTACCTTCTAATTTCTTTTCTTTTTCGTGATACTAATGGTATGAACAGATGCCTTGAACAGAAATGTAATTATTTTTAAAGGCAAGTTTTTATTTATAATTCTGAAAGTTATATTGATGTGCCACAATGTCTGTCAAAATATAAATAGAATGATTTTATTTCTGACATTAAGACATTTGACAGTCATCTTATCTCACTGCATAATTCTCATGTTTATATCCTTTTTATTTCATTTCTTAGACTGCACTTGCCATTAACTGAATTATTTAATAAATTGCCAATGTTTTTGAGTTGCCAAGCTACTGTTATTTATTTAGTGTGGGGCATCTACAGAGGTCATGCAATCACTGATGTATAGCAATATACACTGATATGCAACTACTGTTGTAATGCAGCTTTGTAAACATTTATGTTTATTGGGGCTGACATATGGAACAATTCTTTTTATGTTAAGGTTTTCTTCTTGGAAAATGATGACCAACATAATGGTCTGAGTGACCCAGCAGATCATAGCAGACTGACTGAGAATGTGGCTAAGGCTTTCTGCCTGGCCTTATGTCCACACCTGAAGCTGCTGAAGGAAGATGGAATGACCAAGCTGGGTCTACGAGTTACACTTGACACTGATCAAGTAAGTAGCAATTCTGGGAGAAATGCTTTTTGCTCATTTGGTATAAGCACATGAATAAAGCATTTTTTTTACTATTCGTTTAATGAATAGATCCACTGGAGCAGTGGTTCTCAACCTTTCTAATGCCGCGACCCCATAATACAGTTCCCCATGTTGTGGTGACCCCCAACCACTTATACATCACTGGGTGCTAGGGGCGTGGCCAAAGAAAAGAGGGAAAAAAATGGCGGACAGCTTTGTTTGGCGACCCCCGTGAAATGGTCGTTCAACCCCAAATGGTGTCCCGACCCACAGGTTGAGAACCACTACACTGGAGGCTCCTTGCTAGAGGAAAGGGATGAGGCAGACTATAAGATCAGGTCCAAAAGATAAATGTAGAATCCAAATTGATATAGTAGCAGTAATAAAGTTGTGCATATTTTAAGAATACCTCAGAAGAGTTTTGGACCTTGGACAAGTGCCAAAATTATCTGATGTTTATTAAGATAGCTTTAATGTTTCAGCTTCTGCCTGCTTCTGGCTTAAGAGCCACATTAACTTTAATGAGTGGATTCTTTAAAACAGTGGCACCATTTTTCAGAATTTCACAGAAACATGATAAAAAGTCTGGTTTCTATAATGAATAGCAGAGAAAGATTTATTAATGTGATGCCTGAATCATCTTCAGAGCATACACAACCATAATCAGTAATGCCTACAGTGGAGTGTCAATTCCAGCTCATTTAAAGTTGAACCAGTTGAGCCTGTAATTAGATTATATATACATATTAGTAACTCCACCTCTAATTATGTTGTATTCATGACATGCATAATTTTGAGGCTTCTTTCTGAAAGAATTTTTATATTTATAATACTTACAGGTAGCTTTTTACTTATAACCATTTGTTTAAAGACTATTCAAAGTTTCAAAAGTTTGATGGTGATGAAAAAGTGACTTAGAATTAGTCCTCACACTTATGATTGTCACAGTGTCCCTGCAGTTGTGTGATCACAATTTGGACATTTGGCAACCGGCATACATTTGTGACAGTGTCCCAGGGTCATGTAATTGGCATTTGTGACCTTCCCAGTTGGCTTCTGATAAGCAAAGTCAATGAGGGACTGCATGATTCTTTTAATGACCACAGTGGTTGGCTTAACAACTATGGCAAAAGGGGTAGTTAAAAGTTACGATTAAGCAAATCATCGTGGTTGTTAAATGACTCTCATAATAAATGCACTGCTTAGTGACAGAAATTCTGGTCCCAAATGTGATCAAAAGTCAAGGTTTACCTGCAGGGAACCCATATCATCAGCTTTTTCTATACTCTTTATGCCTTAATTTTGATGTATCTCTTTTGGCGGTGCTGTCATTTTACAGCCCACATTTCCAATATTGATATACTTTTGTTTCATTTGCCTACAATATTACATTTCTGGAAAGTTGGCTAAAGTTTATTTTTTACACTGTATTATAATTTAAACATCTCTTCTAATGGCTCACTTCAAGATGTTATTCCTGATGCTTTAAAAGATACTTAAGACCATATTCCCCCAATTAGCGTTTAGCCCAAAATGAATCTCTTTGCAAGTATTTTTTTTAAATATTATTTTGCTTTTACTTGTTTCTTAACCTATAAACTGCCCAGAGTCTATAGGATTGGGTTGATCTCTAAATATTGTAAAATAAATAATGTGCCTGGAATAAAAATAATTTGTTCTTAAAATAATGTTTTTTGTCCTACTCACTTTGAAGCATGTTATTTTTTTCTTTCTCTTTAGGTAGGCTACCAGGCTGGGAGCAATGGCCAGCCACTGCCTGTTCAGTACATGAATGATCTGGACAGTGCCTTAGTTCCAGTGATTCATGGAGGGGCATGCCAGCTGAGCGAGGGCCCAGTCATAATGGAGCTTATTTTTTATATTCTGGAAAACATCTCATAAGAGGACTTCATTTTCTTTCAGACCTGTTCTAGCAGCAGTTGTATCTGAATCATTTGCACTTTAAAACTGGAAAATTAAGCTTTTAGTTAACACTATTGTGAGGGGTTGGGTGGAGTGGGTGGGTGGGTGAGAACAGTTGTTCCATAATTCTGAATTGTCTATGCATTTGTCAACAAACAGGATCAGGGCAGCTTCTATGTTACAAAATGGCTATGCTATCTTTGCAGCTAACACACATCTGTTATGAATAGAAATAGAAACCAATAATGGTCATGTTTAAAGGCTACTGCAGTCATGTATTTGATGCTCAAAAGAATGCAGAGACCACTTGGGGAATAAGGAAAAGACATGTGTCAACATTTAACTTTTGTAGATAAACTTATTATGAAGAAACAATCAAGACCTCCATTCTGACCTCATTATACTGCTGTTTATGGTTAATTTCTCTAGACATTTAAAATATATTGTTTACATTATTGTGACCACTTTATTGGTCAGAGTACCTCCAGGACATGCTGGCCTATTCTTCAGAGAGGTTCAGAAAGAAAGACAAACATCAGGAAGATACTTTTTACATCTGCCCAAAGCAGAAATCTTTCCAAAAATTGTATGTAAATTAAGCTTGCATTTTCTGTGCTTTACCTTACTTTTTTTTAGTCTCCTTTAAGAATGAAATTGGCAAACCTGCTGTAAGAATTTGGTGTTTTTTTTCTGCACTTTAGTAAGTCTTACGCTTTTGGCAGCTTTCTTTAGTCTTAAATGAGCAATTACATGAAATTGCTATTCTTTTCAACTGATCCTTCTTTTAAAGGAACGTACTCTTTATTTTTTTTGATAAGTGTGTACTCTACTTAAGCAATCCATAGCATTAACCCTGCACTTTATAGTAGCAGCACTATATAAAGCTATTCTCTGAGAATTCTAGCAAGTTTGCCTACTGTTCCATGGTTTGCTTTCACAAGGTAGAAAGCTTGCACCGTGCCTCACTGGAAATGAACTGAGCAGACTGCAAATTGAGCCTTCTTGCAAAAAGATATCAGGCTGGCAGTGACAGCAAGAGAATGTGAGCATTTTCCTGTTAACACTACATTTCCTGAGAATACAGTAACGAGTAGAAAGTTGTCAAACGATTGAGAAAATAAATTCAGATATCATTTGGACATCGCTATCCAAATGAGTAGCTATCATCCATGTGCAAGGAGATAAAAGACTGAGCTTTACTAAATGCAGATTAGAAAATGGACTAGCAAATTTGTATTGCAGGGCAAGTATGGACAGCAGTGGCAGCTATAACAAATTTTTCTCTGTAGATAGCCATATACATGAACACGTGTAGATTTCATTTTTGAATAAATTGCCTCTGCATCCTTAAATTTGTAAAAAAAAACAAAACAAAAACAACACAGCTGATGCTAAACTGCAACTAGAATGGGAATTAGATCAAAGCGTCAAACTGAAGGACAGAAAAATGAATCTTCTAACAATTAAAGATTAATCCCACAAATAGGTCATGTAATACTAAACCTAAATATGTTATTCAATGTTTAGCCACGCAAGAGGGAACTGGTAGACATTAATGGGCACCTGTGAAATCATGTGCAAAAGGAGGGTCTTGCAAAGCAATTTTAAGTTTCTTGTTCTTTCTCTTCCTTGCACAAAAACTAAAGTTCCTTATAAGCTTTCTCTCCTTCTGCAATAGTATTGTTTTACAGGCTGAATTGCCAAAGTCAATACAACTGCTCTTTACAATTGCTGTAGATTCTTACTTTATTAGCTGCATCCCAGTTTCACTATTAGAAGCAGGCTTTTCAGTAACTTAGCTTTGTATTAAAGTTATTGACAAATGGAGAAAGGCTGAACTTTTCATCCCTCTGCAGAAAATCATTTTTTTTGGGCTATGTTTGTGCAAAATTCTATTGACTGGTTTGCTTCAACCACAGCCTTTAAATGACTTTAAGATTACCATATTGTTAAGAACTGAGTACTTGTTTAAAGAAAAAAAAATGTACTTTTAAAATTCAGTTAACACTGCAAAGACTGCATATTATATTTTTATTTTCAACATGTAGTTTTGTATATTAAATTTATTAAAATTACAACAGAATGCTGCATTGTCTCCACTGACTTAAGACAGAAATGAATGCTGGCTGCATGGCAGACTTAAGTGTATGTATGAAGTCACACACATATTGTGGAAATCTTCTGCAACTCCCTTGCTGGAAGCCATGAAACTGGAGAAAAAGATAATTTGGATCCCTGGTTGCACGTTCTGTCTAGGAGGCAGGAAACAATTGTCTTGTACTTTCAGTCAAATTGTTCTGTATCTACTGCATTTGCTGAAGCAAGATCAAAATCCAGATATTAAATAGTAAACAGTTTTACTTCTGCCTCAGTTCACAGAAGAGCAAAAGGAATACAAATGAGAATTTAAAAAGGAACTATTAACTATCTTACATTTCATACAGGCTTCCCTTTGAAAAGGTTTGTGCTCTAGTCACACTTGAGCAACGTAGATGCATATATGAAGAGATGTACAGTAACTTAAAATCTTCATTGCAGGCAATTTAAAGAGATACAATCACAGCTGCTTAACCTACACTTCAGTAAACAAGACTGTCCATTTATTCCATGGGTAGGAAACACATCTTAATTGCAGGTTATATAACACACTGGAGCTGCTGCATCATATCTTAATTATACTGCTATTCATTAAACTCTTGTCCACACTTACCAACATGTCCTTTGTTTGCTCAAGTCAGCAGTCACATTAACAAGTACCTTTTATATATTACCCACAATTTTGGCCTCAAGAAAGGTTAAAATAGGTCAGTCTCTTTGTGTAACAATACCTTCATTCCTAATAGTAGACTTACAAAGCTTACCAACTCATACTATATGATAGTTATGAAAATAAAGATGTTATGTTTAGTAGTGCATTCACTGAACATCTTTGGTGGTTGCAGAAACTTCATGTAAAGTCCATTCTGCAGCTTTTAGCATTCCTGGATCTGTGGGTGCAGGGAAGAAAAAGTCAGCATAGTTTTATAAATGAGAGAACAACAAAGAAACATCCTATGACTGTAAATAAAAATACCATCCATTACTGAAATACACTGACTTTCCCCGATACAATTCAAAATCAATTCCATAAAAATTACTTGTAGTGGGAAATTTTAATTACTTTCTTACATGTATCTTTGATAATATATCTGACTGTTGTTACTTCTTGGTGGTGAATAGTAGTGATCACCTATATAATTTACTTGGGTGTTTTTTAGCGTTTAAGTCTTGAACATTTTTAGTAATGAAATGATAAAAACATACAAGCTAAGAGTATTTTTAAATAAAAACTGAAATGAAGTTACAGTTCTGCATATGAAAAACACATTATTCCAAGTTAAAGACTGGACTGAAATCATTTTTTCCACCTATAGGATTAACAGAGGAAAGATAAACACTCCTACCTTCAGCAGAATTAGTGTTCAAGGACTAGCCAGTTTTCTGTAATTGTCTGAAGATCTTGCCCAGTAAGTGGCTCCCTAAGTCTTACTTTTACTTCTAGTTTGCCTCCAGTAGGCTTCCTACTATCCAAAACCTTAAGATAGAAAAGACATAATTGGAAGAAAACACAACAAAATTCCAAGATAATTGAAGTGACTCTGAACACAGTAAAGCAGGGCTCCCCAACACCCGGCCCGTGGCCCACTTTCAGGCTGTGACCTATTCGGAATTGGGCCGTGCAAGTGGCTGGCTGGAACGCATGCACAGCTCAACTGGTATGAGCGGTGGGCTGGTAGGCAATCATGCACGTGTGTGCCGACCCATTGCTCGCATGACCAGGTTCCCCTCTCCCCCCCCCCAGCTGGGCCACAAAGGTTGGGGACTGTTGCACTAAAGCATTTTTAGTATGACCAATGACAATGTGCTATACAGCAAATGGTTTCCTTCTTTTATTCAAATAAATCACTTAATTTCTCTCCACCCTATTTTTCCATGTCAACAGTCAAATTGTTTCTAGCCCTGTTCAATCTTCATGACCTTTTTAAAGTCTGCCAAAAATATTTACTTGTATGTGTATGATACAGTTTTGGCTATGTATGACTATCAGTATATATGGTGAACAATATATAGAGCCGGAACAATAGTGCAAAGCTACATGGGCAAATTATATCATAGTTTAAAAGGTGCTATTAAAACAAAAATAAATGTGTTCAAGCATTCCCTTCTTACAAATTTATGAACAAATATATCAGAAAGCTTATTTGGAAACAGCAAAATATCTACTAATGGAGGGGTGTCAAACTGCCGGCCCACAGGCCAGATGCGTCATGCCGAAACTGTGCCTACCCCATTGCCAGTAATGGAAAAAAAAGTCACGATATGTCGCAACGTCACGTGATGTTACGAGTTTGACACCTGTGTACTAATGTATTACATTAAGATATCCAATTCTATACACAGTATGGATTGTGATTTGATTTTCTAGTCAACTTCTTATGCATTTAGATTGCACAGAAATATGCAGAAGAGGATATGATTAAGGAAGATGAACTAAGTTGGTCAGCACATAATTCTTGCATTCTTGTACCAAGCCACTGAACACAAACATTATTTAAAAATTTCAATATATTTTCCTATCCGCATAGAGACATGGGTGAATCCTCCAACTATTTTGGAACCAGCATATAACAAAGACAATATTATCAACGAACTGCCAGGGATAGAAATCAGTTATATCCCATTTTGTAGTGTATCTTCAGAACACAAAATGATACAAAGAAAATACTATTTGAATATAGTTCTGTTCAAAAAGCTTGGCGTTGTACCTCAACGATCTCTCTAATTTCACATTCAGATTCCAATTTGTCAAGTTTCAAGTGTGCTGCTCCCACTTGCTTGTCACTCCTGAAAAAGGATCTGGGAAAAGGAAATCATCAAAACCAGAATTAAGCTCCCTTAACAACTGGGTTGGAAGTAGCAACAACATTCTATACTCATTCAGGACATGAAATTTTGACAATCTTTGGTTTATTAATTTCTTTGGAGTCAAATATGGACATAAAATACAGGTAATTAGAAGAAAGCTGACCAACCGCATGCCTGTTTGCTAATATGCTAATAATGGTCATGGCTTACTGCCAGATGAGTTAGGAGAAATAGACACGAGTTGTTCTTCACCTCCCCTCTCACACACACATACACACACATGAATGCGCACACACAAACATGGGTAAGGACTGAGACCTGGGTAGAGACATTTTACAACTTGGGTTTTTTTGTTGGGATGGATTCCCTTCAGAATAATGTCAAGCACCTTAGTTCTTTTTATTTTATTTACTAAATTTATATTCCACCCATCTAACTGTCCACTCTTGATTAACTATGCCATAAAGATTATTCTCTGCCTGTTTTCCTTGAGGCACAGCAGAACTTCCAAAAGTCTATAATAGAGTCACAGAATGTGTCCCCTCTTTTTCAAACAGAACATTTTGGTTCTGTTTCATGCAACTAACTGTATTACTCTCCCCTGGACATGAACACTTACTTACCCTTTGTGAAAAATCTCAAATTTGATTCCTTTGGTTTGAATTGCTCTTCGAAAACCTCTGTGATTTCGATTGATGTTCAACTTGAATAGCTGATTATATTCTACAAGTTTAAAAGAAGTTGCATAAAATACTTGGAACAGTTAAAACAGGGGTTCTCAATCTTGGCAACTTTAAGACTTGTGTACTTCAACTCCCAGAATTCCTCAGCCAGCTTTGCTGGCTGAGGAATTCTGGGAGTTGAAGTCCACACGTCTTAAAGTTGCCAAGGTTGAGAACCCCTGAGTTAAAAGGTTCTGGAGTCATTCAAATCTCCAGCAGAACATGTAGCCAGTGGTCCAAAAAACACAGATTTTTTGCCATTTTATATGGCATGACTATGACCCTAGTTTAGTTCTGAAACTTAAACAATATCATATTTCCACAAACAGTATTTAGGTTAAACAAGGAATCCTTTTCAGGAAATCCTTGCAAAAGCTGGTATTTTCACATGTTTGAATTTTCATGTATGATCCAATGGAAGTGCCATTTTGCATATGCAGAAAAATGACAGTTGCTGCTTTTGTTCCCATTGCTTAAGGGAGCAAAGTAATCAATCAGGGCTTGTATAACCTGGGATCCCCTGAGCTTCTGGACTGTACCTTAATTTTACCTTAATTTTTATCTTAATGTTATTCCATACGGATATAATAAATGTTTGGAATACAAGCTAGGTGACATCATTTTCATATTTATAAATCTAAGCAATTTTTTTAAAAAAACATGCTATAGGACAGTGGTTCTCAACCTTTCTAATGCCGTGACCCCATAATACAGTTCCCCGTGTTGTGGTGACCCCCAA